TAGCCCTTACGCTTTAAATATCATTTTGAGCATTTTGGCAGCGTATCCTGTTATTCCATACTATCCTTAAATTAGCCAATTCAAAGATGATTTGGTGACATTTTTCGCTATCTATTTTACTCTAGACCGTCACTGTTGAGGCACAAAAAGCTGCTGGAGATCTTCGTGTTTGGTCCGTAAGCAGGCGATTCTCTGAGTTCGTTCGCCTTCGAGAAGCTCTTGAGAAACTGCATCCAACATGCTTACTTCCCGTTCTCCCCAATAAAATGGATGGTGCTAATGCTTCTTGGCACCGCTTGACTGCTCTACTAACTGGTGATGATCTTATCAGCAAATTATCTATGAGCCGTCTCACGCCTTGGTCTTCAAGCCAATCGCATCTGTCTACTCCAAATTGCTCCTTTTTTTCAGATCCTACAGCGTCATTATTTAATTCGTCAGAATCTAATTTTCGTATGCTTCCAGGTGCAATATCTGGTCGCCGGTTTTGCATAAATCTTATTGAAGCCAGACGGGTTGCTTTGGAAATATTTCTTAGGCGTGCTCTAGAACATCCCCGACTCGGATGTGATCCGCTCTTGATTTCCTTTCTATGTGAAGATAAAAGTTGGCGGTACAGCTTTAAGGTACCCCTTACTATCTTTATTGTTATCTCTATGCATATATGATTTTTCTTGAGTTTGCTTCAAAATAGCCATGTTTGTCAATCAGCGCCTAGCATTCACTAAGTCTATTTAATCAGGTCAGAGCCCCTTTGAGTATTTTTAATTAGTTGACCTTTGATGAAACTTTGGATGAAAAGCATTCATAATTTGGTTTTACCTAAATTAGAACAAGGATTTTTTGTGATGCTTATTCGTCGATTTAAAACTATTAACCTCAAGCTTAATGTCCTCCTACCAAGATAAAAATGCTCTAACCTCAAGATGGTTAAAGAAAGGCGTACTTTTAAATCGCTACAAAAATCCCAAGACAGCCATAGCTTAATTTCCAATGAGAATAACATCTCTATGTCTTTTAATTGCTAAAGTTTAGATCCAATGACATTCAATTTTTTAATTCCTACGTCTGGCCTTTTGTACTTTAGGAAACGATGCATTTAATTAGTATTGAATAGGTTTCGAAACTTTTAGTATATCCTGAATAAAAACTTTATTCTATTCTAGATCGTATAATGCGATAGTTTAAATTTCTCATAATGATTGAATATAGTTCTCATTCGAGGCAAACTGCAGTTTCAT